TCTAGGGCTTTTCTGTTCGCTGTTCCAAGGAAGACCACTAGATGTTCCGGCTGATAAGAAGAATGTTCCAGCCCCAGCAAATACCAGATGTTCCTTCCGTTATTCCCACCCAATTCTATTGTTGCAGGGCTGTTTAAGCCCACTCTAAGCCCCAATAAATCAAGACCTTGACATTGCACAGATGGACTCTTGTCCTTTCTTGCGCCGCTTGGTCTCCTTTCTTTCTCTCGCCCATGACTCTTTCAGGCAGCCCCCCTTCGGACGGGTCAAGTGGCGCCTGAACAGGGACCCGAAGTACGGTCAGCTGTCGGACGGCAGAAAGACAGCCCGGGACAAAGAGGATCCTGCAGACAGCTAAACTCAAGCTCTTTTCAGGTGGAGGTAAGTTACCAATCATTGCCGTCCAAATGCCTTGGGTACTACCATTAGTAAGGAGTTAAAATTCATAATAGAGTTCAAAATAGCATTCAGGGAGAAAGGAGTAAGAGTTAAAAAGAAAGATAAAAAGGAGTAAGAATTAAAAGGAGAAGATAAAAAGAAATGAGATAAAAAGAAAGATTTAGTTCATTTTTTCTGTTTTATTAATAAAGCTTGTCTATGTTTGATTTTAATGGGAACAGACATAGCTCCCCAGACCTGGGAAAAGATTGGGAGAGATTTAGGTAAGATATATGAGTTAAACCCCCCAAAAATTTTCCTAAAATTCATTCAGTGCCCTGAACTCATTGGTGAGAGGTCTTGCCTCTTGCTGACTGTTAAAGACTTCCTTCAGAAGTCGTGACCATTGTCATGTACAGAAGCCAATGACCAACCTTCCCCTATTCCCTCAGCCCGTGCTCCCACCCTCCCAGTGTTCTACATACTTGTAAGCCTCGGGAACCATTGTCATGTACAGAAGCCAGCCCATGCTCTCGCCCTCCAGGCACTCTGCATACTTGCAAGCCAGGGGACTCGCTGGTCTGCTCGCTGCTGGCAGCATTTCTTAGAGGCGGTCAAGCTTAGGGGCTGCAACTTACAGCCTTGGGAGGTGCCAACATGGTTGATGGCTAATTAATGTATATAAATGCTATTGATACAGCCAGACAGAAACTGTTTTTGAGACTTATAAAGAAGAAAGGACAACATATTTAAGCTTGGAATTGTTCAAATTTTGGATGCTCATATTTCAATGATTGACTGTAACCTACTATGTTAGAAATTTCAATTAGGGATTTTTCTTTTCTGCAAGCTGATCATAACCTAGGCAAAAGGAAAAATGTGAGACGTATGCAAGTTATGAATGAACGGTGTGGTCACACCTGGATGCGTGATGTGATTGTGAATTTATGATTCGGATGAATGGAAATGCCTAAATTGCCTTGGATATGATTAGAGATATTTATATCGTCTCGGATATTGTTTTAAAAAAATATCAAAATCACTTTAATATGGTCAAAAAGATCATCCAGTCAGTTAGTCAATGTCTTAACAGGAAAAATTATGATTTCAGCCCTAGAAGACAGTCAATTAAGTAGTTAGCAAAAGCCTATAGCGTTAGCTTAGAGGCATGAGGATTCTATGGATGATTTTGTAAAATTTGGCAGATGAGAGGATACAGGTCTTCCTAGATTCTTATGGTTAAAAAAGGACATCTAGAAAACAAGGGTTGATGCATGATTTTAAAAAGGGGTTTATGAGAAACCTCAGGAAAGAGCCAACCTGTTAGATTCACAGCTTGAATGTGTCTTTATAGGTCAGCTAACATGCAAATGAGTTTTTAATCAGCTTGTCAGCCTCGAAGGTTAGATTAGAAAAGGCTACTCAGAAACTCTAAATAAATCTAGAGAACTGTTAAAGACATATGTTATATTCTAAAGAAATTAAGGCTTAATAGATAGAAATTGGAAAAGATACTTTAAAATCTTTAAATGAGTTTTTTAGAAATTAATATAAAATATTCATTGGTTAAGTACCTTTTTTTGGGACATCTAATGATGATTTAAATCCTTTAATGTAAGAACAAAACACCTGGATGACCCTGACCCCGCTCCCTAACAACAGGGCACATATGCAACCTTTCCTTTAAAAGGTCCTGCCACCCATCCCTCTCTCTCTCCCTTTTGTCTCCTCGGTAGACAAGTTTTATAATTAGAGGAGGCAATTCAGCATCATCAAATATATTGACTATACAATACCATGGGAAGCTTATGTACTCCTCACAAAGCATAGCCCAATTTCTGGTTTATGGCAGAAGGAACCATTGCTATGGTTGCTCCTACCTGTCCACCAGCCTAAATATTTTAAACCCTTATTTTAAAGCATTAGCCTACATGGTACAGAAATGCCATATAGGCCTAAATTCCCTTTTTTTTTCAAAACACTGGACCCAATTCGGTAAGGCTACCCCTTTCAGTGAGGGTAAACGTCTCCCTGAACCCGAGGGACTGACCGTTGATCTTCCGGCACCCCCCCAAAGTCAGCAGGAAGTAGCATGGAAGAGAATGCATCGCCCATTTTCCCTGGTTGAATTGCTAAGTCAAAAGAAACTCCCTTACATGGGGGAATGCCAATATCTCTCACTCCCTGATGGGGACGCTGGAGAGACAACAATTCCATGATTACTCTATGC